AGCGCTGCGGATCGGCTGGAAGCTGCGCTCCCCGGCTAGGCTGGAGAAGGAAGGACACCAGGGCACAGAAAATGGGTCTGAATGAAATGTGCAGACCCACACACCCCAAATCTGCCAAGGTCACAGAGAGGTCACGTCGACTTTCGAGTGGGAAATAAAACACTCGGGGGAAAAAACCCAAACCAAAATGACACTATTTGGAGAGATTCAGAGTGAGGAGGGGGCAGGGAACTGGGTCTGATCCCCATACTGAGCGGCGAATATACATACACACTAAACAGCCCACCTAGTGTATACATCTTACATGTAATCTGATGACCAGGCCAAATAAACATTTCTATGCAGCCGGAAAAAAAAGAAAAGAAATCTTCATTATGTTCCCCTGCTCACTGATTGGCTTTGAAAAAAGGAGATAAAAGAAGATCACTGAAGGATAATAAAAAAGAATTGGGGATCTTGGATGTCCACTTCTAGCACACATCCCAGGGATGGCTCTCTGCAGGAAAACAGATCATTTCTTCCCATTTCTAACGCTGATCGTATTAGTCCTTTCAGTGTAAATCCGAAGACTTCCTACATAAAAAACAAACTTCTACAAAAGTGACAAACAAGATTATTCATTTGCAATAAGGATAGAGAATCTGAATATTTGTTTCACCTGCCCATCGCCACAGGGCAAGGGAAGCCCCGATCAGATCCGTTTTCTCTTCTTTTTCTCAGTGTCCTGGTGAAGTTTGAGTGGCTCTTTCATTTGTCCCTGTGTTAGAGACCTAATGCCCAGCTGCTGTTGTCACAAGGTGGTTTTAAGTGGCCCGCCGCAATTGTCCCCGGCTCTTGTGAAGAAGATCTAAGCTCCGGGGCTGTTTGCATTGTTTTAGTGTTCTGCTAATGAATCCACACACAGCTGGAGCCCTCACTTCGGGGCAATGGGAGCTGTCACCCCACCACTGACCCCCATCTAACCCCCAGAGCTGACACTTCACCGTCTGTTAAAGCCATTTGCAGCCACACCAACTGAGCACCGTTCTAGTCTTTTTTCTTAATCTTACATAATAAAAAATAGTGCTTTCTATTTTAACACTTTGCAGACCATCCACTTTTTAAATAGAAGCGCAAGGATTAAATTTACAGGACACATCACTATGATAAAATTAATTTTCTTAGAAGAAAACATCAGTCGTATTTCTGTCCTTTCAGCGTCTGCTGTTATTTCAGATCAATTTGCAGCATCTGATCTGCCAGTCAGGGAGTTTATTAGTCAAATTGTTAATGAAATAGTTAAATTAAAAAAAACTAAACTCTTTAGTAAAATATTTACCGCCGATAGCACATAAACCATATGGACAGAAACAGCACATCCGTAAATTCAACACTACACAAACAGATAACATCATTGTCATGAATTTCAAAAATAAGAATGTTTATTTTTTATTTGTTTGGAATATTAAAATTCTATCGGAATAGTCAGAACAAGTTGCAAAACCCTGCAATGTGCAATTAAACGGAGCAGAGGAAAATGATACAGATCCACATTACTGCTACAATGATATTGTAACCATTGAAATTGTTACAAATGTTTACACACCGGTTTGTGTTTTCATTTTGTAGAGAAAAAATATATATTTTTTTTTCTTTATTATTATTTTTATTTTTACATTTTCAAACAAGCGTGTCCATAAATCCTTGTTTAGTTAATTAAATAGCAAAGCAACATTGTTGCTTATTACAAGATAAGTTTAGTGGTTAATGAGGTATAAATTAACACTAAAATGAATGAGAATGCAGTATGCACAATATTATTGTATTAAGGTGTGTGTGTGCACAAATAGAAGATAGATAGATAGATAGATAGATAGATAGATATATAGATAGATAGATAGATAGATTGTATGTGCGTATATATATATATATATATATATATTGTTTGTACTGTCTTTTACATTCAGGTGTGGAAGAAGCATCCATCCTGCACTCAGTTGTATTACAAACATCTGAATTGTGAAAAAAATAATGATTCTTGATCTGTGTTAGAAATGGACATTATGTCGGTATTAGTAATGCACTCACCTTGTAACAGAAACCCTCTCTTCAAGTTATTGTTTCAACTTGAAAGCCTGCTCTCATGCAGCCTTGTGTGGAACACAGCGCTAGCTAAAGCAATGCTGCCTGACCCCCATTGCCCGCAGTGGCCGTCGCGTCCCCTCTTCCCTCCAGCCGGGCTCCCTGTCCCGGGCGGAGCACCCCCTGTCTCCCTCTCTCTCTCTCCATCCCTTGCAGTGGCTGTCAGGGTTCTCCGCAGACATCTATGTTACGGTGGATGCAGCCCGAGCAGCCTAACCCTTTCCCCGCTGGAAGCAGCAACCAGATGACTTTAAATCACGTCTGCACCTAATGAGAGTCCAGTGTCACTCCTGTTGGAGGTTACAGAGCCCGAATCCCCACCCTGCACTGTGCAGGAGGAAAGTGACCCCCATCAGCTGGAAGGGATGCTGACATTTTCCTGCCACCCCTGGCATCCAAGATGTTAAACTCACTCATTAACTAAGATTCCTAATTCTTTTCTACTTTAGAAAATAGCAACCGCTGTGCTGATTACTGAGATGGGGCATTAGAGGGGCCATCAGTGTACAATGTAAAGACAGAGCCGGCCCCCCGCCCCCTGGAAACTTCAGGCCCCGGCCATGATTGATGGGCTCCAGGACTTGTGGTAATTGACTGTTCTGAGGTCTAAAGCAGGTTTCACTTCCAGCAAACGGATTGGGCAACAAGACAAAACCGAGAGAGGCATTTTCTCCCCCTCCCCCTGAGAACCTCTTGGTGTTTCTGCTTCTCCTGGAATAGATCGTTTGCTGCTCGGGGGTGCAGCATTTTACTTCATTTAATAAATAGCCCGGCTGTAATTAGCAGTGCCATTAGCAAGTATTACCGCACTAATACCTGTGCACACATCCCACAGTCACACAACAAAGGAGTGCTCAGGGCTGGCCTGACGATCACACTTCTGGGCCTTGTAATGACACTGGACTTGATTTACTACAAGGAGCACTTGGCACCGCGGAGTTTCACTTCTGCAAAGTCAATGTTAGTAAATAAGGTGAAGCTGTGGTTCACTTTGAATACCTAATCATATGCTAAAAAAATATATCCTGTGTTTTTAAATTCCCCTTGCGCATGGCTTGGTAATCAAAGCAACGCAGCTCCGTTTTATTTAATAACATTGACTTTGCAATGTGAACATGCAGTTTATGACACTTTGCTAGGCGAATGTGAATCAAACCACTTGTATACTATGTGGATTCATATTGCAATCTTAAATCGGCTCTGTTGTATCTTGGCATTCATCTCAGCTTATTACAGTGTGCTCTGCTAAAATATGATCATTAATAGATATACCAGCTCCGTCTGTCATTGTGGTCCCCAAATAGAGTGACCTTTTTCTTTCTCCATCTCCCTGTGACCTCTAGGCTGGGACAAGCAGGACATCGTGGAAAGGGATCGGTCGGAGCCCTTGCGATCTCAGCTTGATGAAAGTTTCCTCTGAGCGATCGCGTGCGGGCTGGGATTGCGCAATCCTCACGACCCCGGCCCGACTTTTCACCCTCCGAGGTGTTCTCCTGCTCATCTGGCACTCATCGGGTTAATGGGTCACCAGTGTGTACTGACATGTACGCAGGATGCCAGTCTAAGGGGCAGGCGATTGTTGTGGAATTAGCCTGTGACTAGGATAATGAGGACTCAGCCTTTGCTGGTTAAGTGGCTGGGTAGGATAGTGAAAAGGATGGCTTGGTGCATGTAGCCTCCCCTTCCCTGCCTCCCAGCACTTCTGATTGCACGGCGTCCATTGCATCGCCTCTAAGTCTCTGCCTCCCTCCATGTGTGTGTGTGTCGTAGGGACTGGCTCTGGCTCCCTCTACTTCCGGGTCCCGTCATTTTCATTCTCCCGCCGATCAGCTCAACAAACTGAGTCTCTTGTATAAGCCAGCAGCAGCCAACCTGCCAGCAGTCACTCATCTCCCAGAGACCTCATCCACCCAACTCAGCGCCTCACTCCCTGCACACGGAAGCACTTTGGACTTTTTTTTTATTGCTTTATTTTGTTACTAAAAGATATTTTTGTATTTATTTGAATTTTTTTTTCTTGGTATTTTTTTTTTTGACTCATTGGGATCCTGATTTTTTTTCACGTGTCATTGGGAAAAATAAATAAATAAAAGAGACAGAGATCTGTAGGGAGCTGTCAAGAGGAGTTACAGAAAGATAGAAGCATCAGAGAGAGAGAGAGAAAGAGAGAGAGAGACAAGGGGTTGGAAGATTTGCTGCTCATCTTCATCACGATCACCATCATCTTCCTCCTCCTCTCCTGCCACCATCCCTCATTCAGCACCTTGACATGCTCTCCATTTGATTGACATCTGAAGTGGCGGAGCGCCATGAGAGCCCCCAGCCTGGGTACATGTGGCTCTGCCCTGGGCCGACACTAACTCCTAACTTGGAACACTTCGCAAGAAATCGCCACCGCGGACCAGAAACAAGCCCTCGCACCAGACCTCACCGAGACACGTTAGACCAGGAGAGTTTGGCCTTCCTGTTCAGCATGCTTGTATGATTGTTGTTTTCCCGTGTTGGAATCGGGAAGAAGAAGCTCTGGTGGATTG